CTCTGGATGTGGAGGAGCTGGGTGTGGTTGTCTGCCGAGTGGTCGTGGATGCCCTGGGTGTGGCTGTGTGCTGAGTGGTTGTGGATGCGCTGGGTGTGATTGTGTGCCGAGTGGTTGCTGGAGCATTGGATGTGGTTGTCGAATCCGTGGTTGTTGATGCTGTGGGTGCGGAGGAGCTGGGTATGGTTGTCAGATGAGTGGTTGGTGGGGCACTGGATGCAGCTGTCCAGTCGGCAGTCGTTGACGCTCTGGATCTGGAGGTGCTGGGTGTGGTTGTCAGATGACTGGTTGTTGGGGCACTGGATGACGCTCTGGATGTGGAGAAGCTGGGTGTGGTTGTCAGATGAGTGGTTGTTGGGGCACTGTATGTGGTTGTCCAATTGGCAGTGGTTGACGCTCTGGATGTGAAGAAGCTGGATGTGATTGTCAATTCAGTGGTCGTCAATGTGCTGGATGTGGTTGTCCAATCTGCAATAGTTGGTGCACTGGATGTGGAGGAGATGAGTGTGGTTGTCGGCAGTGTGTTTGTTGGGGCACGGGATGAGGTCATTGGCTGTGTAGATGTGGATGTGGATGTGGTCGTTGAATCTGTGTTTGTTGAAGCAGTGGTTGTGGAATCACTGGATGTGATATTTGGATCATCAGACACAGTGGATGATGGATACTCTATGGTTTCATCTTCTGTATATGGTCCTTCAGGAATTTCGTTGAATCCCCACAAATCAAACATTTTTGAATCATCATCCGTCACAGGTGTAATTACAGGAATAACCGTGACTGTCGTTGTCTCTTCATCAGTTGGAGGTTCTGTTCCCCCTGTTGTTTCCGTTTCCCCTCTCCCCTGTCGGGGTTCTATACTGCCCAAGTGACGAGGATTCCCCATCCACTGCCACTGGTTCTGTTCTTGCAGAGCTCTACGGTGACGATCCCGCCCATCTCCTCTTGCTGCACTGAAACAAGCCGCCAGCATCGTGGACAGCTCTCCAGCCGAGTCCAAATAAATCATTTCAAAGATGCAGTCCTGCAGAACATTCAGCTGTTAGCTCACCACCCAACTTCACAAACTGGATTGTGGATCACTTCGTCCTTACCTTGTCTGCCGGTGTGGAGATCTGCACCAACACTGCGCCTGGAGTAGCGGTCGTCTGAACCCTTCCAACCTCG